CTGGCAGCACAGAGCCTGACTTGGGGCTCGAACCCATGAACTGAACCTTGAGACCATGGCCTGAGGTGGAATTGGGAGTTGGAGGCTAAACCGAGCCACTCAGGCACTCCTATCAGTGCCGTTTTCATTAAGAGGTTAATTAAAATCCTATTAGGTGTTTTTCATGGAAATGGACACCAAGATTCCAAAATTAGGATAGCAAAGTGAAGGATCAGAAAGAGCCGAGATGATTTTGAAGATGGAGGGAAGAGCTTCACTCTCTGTTATAAAACTGTGATAACGAAATCAACATGATATTGGCACACCGGAAAAAAAAAAAGGTATGTATTAACTATCTATTGCTATGTAACAATTTAGCCCCAAGCTTAGCAGCTGAAAACAATAGAGCTTATTTCGGTGCAGTATCTGAGGGTCAGGAATCTGGGAGTAGCTTAGCCAGCTGGTTCTGGTACAGGGTTCTCTCAGGAGGTTACCGTCAGGATGTTGGCTTGGGTTGTGGTCATCTGAAACTTGACTGGAGCTGGGGGACTCGCGTCCGCCATGGCCCGGGCAGGTGGCTGCAGATCAAGGGCTCTCTTTGCCGCATGGGTCTCTCCACGTGCTCCTCAATAACGTGGCAGCCTGCTTCCCCCAGAGAACGATCCCAGAGAGGGCTAGAATGCAAGATGGAAGTCAGCTGTCTTTTGTTGCCGAATACCAGAAGAGACATCCCATCCCTATTTCTGTCTCCTCTGACCCTGGCATCACGTGGGAGGAGATTGCACCAAGGCATGAATTCCCAGAGGCACGGGAGCATTGTGGGTCATCTTGGAGGCCGACTACCACAACATTTTTGAGGGGCCAAACGTCATGTTGTTTATCGTTGACAAACTTCAGCAAAAAAAAAAAAAAAAGAGACTGATGAAGCAAACTGAGCAAAATTTAGGCTTTCTCTCTGGAGGTGACAAGATGGCTTACTGGCCCAAGAATCCTCTAGAAGCCAGTTACTCTCTTTTCTTTAAAATTTTTTTTTTCAATGTTTATTTATTTTTGGGACAGAGAGAGACAGAGCATGAACGGGGGAGGGACAGAGAGAGAGGGAGACACAGAATCGGAAACAGGCTCCAGGCTCTGAACCATCAGCCCAGAGCCCGACGCGGGGCTCGAACTCACGGACCGCGAGATCGTGACCTGGCTGAAGTCGGACGCTCAACCGACTGCGCCACCCAGGCGCCCCTACTCTCTTTTCTACCCAGACTCCTGACTTGCCCCGCACCAGCACACGGCGCTCTCCCAGCTGGCTACCAATACAGCTGCATTCAGGGGGTGGAGGACTGAGTCAGCAGCTCGGCCCCATAAATGCTACCAGATGAACCCGAATGTGTTCTCCCTCAGGTCTTATTCTGAGATGTTCTGAAACACACCAGCACTTTTTCTCATTTTGTTCCGAAATCTCTCTGGAGGAACAGTGCCACGGAATACTTGTTGTGGCCTTGCCCTCCAGGTCAGTGTTAACCATGGGGTTTTAGCAGAGTCAGCGGTCTTGTTGAACTTTGCCTTGGCCCCGACTGTGAATTCAGCTTGGGCTCATTGGGTCCCTGGAGTGTAGTTCCTTATTTTACCATGAAAAATAAAACAGCTTTGGAAGATAACCAGCTGTGCCTGCTGGGCCACAGTTCTTTAATTTATTAAGGAACTCCACGAAATCCTAGGGTTCACTTACACAAAGTATTTCTATAAGAATGTAATTAAAATTTTTTTTTCTAAAGCCTGGGTTAAATGTTAACTCGTGTGATGAATTTTCCAGAGGAATTGGGAACGAAAATTGGGGAAGCTGAAAAAGTGCCATTTTGGGTGTTGTAAGAAATTTGTAGGGCGCCTGGGTGCCTCAGTCGGTTGAGTGTCTGACTCTTGGTTTTGGCTTAGGTCACGATCCCAGGGTCGTGGGATCGAGCCCTGTGTCAGGCTCCCTGATGAGCATGGGAGCCGGCTTAGGATTCTCTCTCTACTTCTGCCCCTCTCCCCTGCTCACGATTTCTCTCTCTTTCTCAAAAACGAAAGACCAAAACAAAACAAAAACTTGTGCATTTTAGGGTAGAAATAAAAATTTATATTTGGGGCTGTCCCTCAATTTGTTTTTGGAGATAATACTTTGGCGGACAGCTTTCAATTATTCAGATGATAAAAAAATACCTCCCCGTTATTTTGGAGAAGTCCAACGCAGTAAAATAATTAGATCCTACATATTTCAGACTGGGATATGAAGGGATCTGTGTGATGCTAAGTCAGTGTATCTCTAGCAGGATAACAGTGGGGAGGACACGAAGAGTAACCACCATGGTGTGGTGGTCTGGCTATGTGTTCTTTTGGCTAGACTAAGCACTTTGCCCAGAAATCCCTTCTTGTAGTTTCCAGTTTGAGCTACAGGGGTATTCCAGCTTGAGAGTTGCACCTGCCTTTCGCCAGCTGGGCTTTTCTTGCTGAATCTTTCAACCTAAAACCGTGGAAGGCTGATACTGACATGACTTGTACAGATTATCTAGTTCAATTGGGTTCTAAATTTCGTCCATTCTAAGAGTCACCTGGGAAGCTTTTTTGAAATACAAATTCCCCGGTGCCACTTATGAAGACTCTGGTTCAGCAGGTCTGGGCCCGGGACATCTGAATTTCCTTTACAAGTTTCTTAAGTGGTTTTGATGATAGGTCAACAAGTGGTTTTGCTACCCACTTGATTCTCATTTTATAGTTAGGACAACCAAATCCAAAGAGAAGGATTAAGGGGTTAAGGAAAATGACAGGAGGGACAAGCAGAGCCTGTGTCTTGATAAACCTCCGGTTGCTACATTTGCGTAAACAAGGCTTTCTTTAGCTAGACGGTGATGCTTGACCAGTGACTGTGTTTGTGGTACAAAATGCCGAAGGAATAGTTCTTGAGGAATGCAGAGGAGAGAATATTAAAAGAGTTGCAGCACTGAAGCAAACTTCCTGGAGAAGAGTTCTAAGAACCGGGGATGATTTGCATAAATGGTAAGACAGAGGGCAGCCTTCTCCCCAAGGTGGGAAAGCCGTAAGAAGGCAGGGGTCCACCCCGGCTCGAGCAGAAGGTGTAACTTAAGACAATGAGTAGAGTGTAGGAAGGATCTGCTAGGTACGTTTAGGAAAATAGGCAAGATGGTAGGAATAAATTGCTTTTAAATGCTGTGGCAGAGGCATGTTTCATAATATAGGGGTGGCTCATAAAATTTGAATGTACAGCACATTTTGCCAATTGAGACTGATTGGGAGGAAACTTTTTTTTTTTTTTAGCTTTAAAGTACATGAATAAATTTCACCCTGAGCCAGCAAATTCTAGCAAGGCACAGAGTCTTGCAATGATGAACTGTCTCATTTTAACAACAGTGTTATTAAATAAGAAGTTAGTAACGATGCTTGGGGAAACTAAATTAGCAAATAGAGAAAAATGACATGTAATTAGTCATATCTAGTCTTTCCATGTAAATAGTACTTCCAAGATGCTGGAAGATGCTTAAAAACAGTCTTATAGAAACAATTTTGTGTTTTGATGGAAAACTATGCTTGTCTAGAAGATGCCTTCCAGGCTGATTCTCATCTTTCAATGCCTTGGAGACATTTGACACTCGTGTAATTACAGGTGAATAGTAGATGAGCAGGCTGTGTCCTGTGTCATTGTCCTTCTTCCCCATCCTGTGGAAAAAAGCCAATTTGCTTTCCTTTGCACTTGCCTTTCAACATTTTTTTTAACTCCATATAAATGTGTGTGCTTTGACTTTTTTAAAAAAAGGTTTTTATTTTTTTATTATTATTTTTTATGAATATAATTTATTGTCAAGTTGGCTTACATACAACACCCGTTGCCTCTTTTTTTGAACTGGTTTTAATATCTGCCTGTCTTCCTCATTAATTAATGAGTAGCACAAAATCTGTAACACGTCATTTTTACATCTGTGTGACATCATGATTTCACCCGTCTGAAAATGACCCTTGAACAGTCCTATTGTCTGTTCACAAACCTTACTCCTGTTGTCTTTTTATCTTACCGATTTTCCATCTTTCTGGCCGGAAAGATCTAAGTCATCTTTTATCTGGATTCGCACATTTTCCAATTAGAAGCATCTAAATTAATAAGGTTCTATGTTCCGGGTCTTAAGATTTGTGGTCAAATTCTTGTGGCCTCAGGAAGCTGGTATTTTCTCCACCATCACTTATTTTCCAAATGCACATTTCTTCCTGTTTCTTTAACCTTCTTTGGAGCCAGCTGAATTGGTTATGATAACTTTAGATGACCAGATAGAACACAGTGGGGGCGACTAGAAGTATGCGACAACTTATTTTTATTTTAATTAAAACATTTTTTTTAATGTTTATTTAATTTTGAGAGAGACAGAGACAGAGCAGGAGCTGGGGAGGGGCAGAGAGAGAGAGAGAGGGAGACACAGAATCCTTAGCAGGCTCCGGGCTCTGAGCTGTCAGCACAGAGCCCCATGTGGGGCTGGAATCCACGAACTGCAAGATCATGACCTGAGCCGAAGTCGGACCCTTAACCGACTGAGCCACCCAGGCGCCGCTATTTTATTTTTTTTAATGTTTCTTTATTATGGGGGGGGGGGGGGCTAGGGAGGGCAGCGAGAGAGAGGGGAGGACAGAGGGTCTGAAGCAGGCTGTATGCTGAGAGCCCAATGCAGGTCTCGAACTCACGAACTGTGAGACCATGACCTGAGCCTACGTCCCATAAAGTGGGCCACACACCAACTGAGCCGCCCAGGCGCCCGGTAACGACTTAGTTTTAAAAACAGCCTAATTTAGATTTACAACAGGGAAGTCCCAGGCCCTAGGAGCCAGGCACTCTCGTAAATTTCACAGGCCGGCAGTCTGGCTGCTTTTGGCTTTCCTCCCCCGCCTCCTCCTCCCCCTCGTCCCTCCCGTCCCCGCCGCCCCCCCGCACCGCCCCCCGCCCCCCCCCCACCCCCACCCCCGTACGCTCCGAGCCTCCCCTCCCCCGCCCGGCCTTCCCGGGAGGCCTGGAATCCCGGGCAGCCACTGGCCCGTGGGGATCCGCCGCCCTCCGTCACCGCGCGTCCACTTCCGTCCCGGCGGGAGGCGCCTCCCCTCCGCCTGCCCCGACCGTCCCCCGGCCCGGCGGGCAGCCTCCGCGCGGGGAGAACCCAGGCTTCCGGCGGCGGACAGGTAGGTGCGCTCCGCGGGCGCGCGGAAACGCGCGCGGCCCGGCGGCGCGCTAACTCGGCGCGAGTGTTTGCAGCAGCTCGAGCAAGTCTGCCCTGCGCACAGGTCCGGAGCCGACCAAAAAGTCCTTTTCCCAAACCTTTTCCCAAAGCAGCAGTACATTATCACCGCAGAAAAGCAACCTGGGCCGGCCCACTTGGGTATGTTTTCCTGTCCTGTTCAGCCAGCTGTGTAAAAAACCTAGCTGCAATCGTGCTGTGCAGAAACTCGTTATTTATTTTTTCCATAGAACGCTGTGTCCGGAGCCTTTCTTCCATGCCTTCGAATGGAATACTGTTTGTAATTATTGTCCTACAAGTTGGGCATTTCAGTTGTGTGGTTTTTGCCAGTATAAACCCATGGGAAAGATGAGCCTATTTGCATCAAAATGTAACCAAACCAAAGGAGAGTTTGTCACCCCCCCCCCCCCCCCCCCCCGGGGGGGGGGGGGGGGGGGGGGAGCTAATGCTCCAAAGTCCAGAACTCTCGGATGGCTTGCATGAGGGTTTTTAAGGGCAAAATTTGGGGGAAGAGGTCTTGTGAGAAGGTGGACACCTTTGATTAGAGGCCCATGAGGTCCTACTAGCAGGTGACCTGGTGCCACTTCATCTGGTGCCCTGGAGGTCTTTTCCATTTCAAGGGGCTTGGAATCTGGAAAATATCTTTATTTCTTATGTTAGAAATTGAAGCAAGCATTCGTATCCCTTGAGCCTAGGCCTTTTTGTTCCTTGGCTGGTCTCGTTGTGCCTTGGGTAGATATGACCTCTGGTGTTTCATCCTTTCATCTGAACTGACAAGAGGGATGCGGGCTGCAAAAAATCATTATAGGGGGCACCTGGGTGACTCAGTTGGTTAAATGTCGGACTCTTGATTTCAGCTCAGGTCATGATCTCGAGGTTCGTGAGGTCAAGCCCCGCATCGGGCTCTGCGCTGACAGTGTGGAGCCTGCTTGGGGTTTTCTCTCTCTTCCTCTCTCTGCCCCTGCCCCTGCCCCTGCTGTGTGTGCTCTCTCTCTCTCGCTCTCTCTCTGTCTCCAAAAAAAAAAAAAAAAAATTATTATCCCCATTTGGCAGTATTTCCTTAGGGGGGGTACTACTGGGTCTAGAGAGGAGACCGTGGGTCTAGCATCATGGCATCTTTGGTGCTCGGTACCCGGTGCGTGTTGCCAAGAAGGACCGCACGGGTCACCCACTCAGCCGTGTGGGTTGGCAGGCAAAAGTGTCTCCTCTCCTAGGCCTTGCTGACATAGGGGACTGTGATCAGGCCTCCTTGCTGATGGAAGATATAAGCTGATGTTTTCAAAGCCCATTTCAAATAAGGTGGTCAGAAGTGAGCCCCACAGGTGTCTGGGGACATGCTGTCCAGGCCTCAGAACAGCCTGAGAGATGCCAAAGGCAGCCATGTGATTGGCTTGTTTGCAGGCCGGTGGGTCCTCATCATATCTACCTTTCTAATCAATGCTGTCTAGACCTGTCCCCTATGGAAAATAGAAGCATGATTGAGGACAAATAGATCTGGAGTTGTGGAAGTTGGTAGAATCATCTGTGGGTAAGTAGGGCCCTGCTTTCCCAGCTGCAAGATCAAAACTCAGTTGCCAAGCAAGTTCCTGCAGTGTTTACCCAGTGAAGGGAAAACACTGAGCCTTCCCCTTTAGCCACTGCCTTCCCCTGTTACCTTTCAGCCTTTGTTTGCTTGCTGATGGTTTCCAAATCTCTGAAGCTTCTAGAAATTTCTTCCTGGACTTCTTTGCTTGTTGCAGTCCCACCTACGCCAATTCCCTCCGCTCGTTGAAATCTGTTTTCTCTGTTTCTGCTGGAGAACTTCACTGCACCGGGAAGTCTGACTTCTGAGCTATTGACGTCCCTGAGGGTATGAAAGTAGGAAAACCCCATCCTCTGGGCCATACGTCACCATCCATTTCTCACCGTTTTGACTTCTGGAGAGAAAAGGGGAATGTTATTCAATAGCGTTGTTAAAAGATCATTTTCAGGGGAAGGTGAGAGCGTGACTCTCAAACAGACAGAAAAATGAGCACATGTTGGGGTGCCTGGCCGGCTCAGTCGGTAGAGCATGCAACTCTTGATCTCGGGCTTGTGAGTTCGAGTCCCACGTTGGATGTAGAGAGATTATGTAACATTTTTTTTTTTAATTTTTTTTTCAACGTTTATTTATTTTTGGGACAGAGAGAGACAGAGCATGAACGGGGGAGGGGCAGAGAGAGACAGGGAGACACAGAATCGGAAACAGGCTCCAGGCTCTGAGCCATTAGCCCAGAGCCCGACGCGGGGCTCGAACTCACGGACCGCGAGATCGTGACCTGGCTGAAGTCGGACGCTTCACCGACTGCGCCACCCAGGCGCCCCGTCATTTTTTTTTTTTTTTAAATGAGCATGTGTTAAAGATTCTATTTTATTTATTAAAGAAGGAACCAGGCAGATTTTATAACTGATTCAAAAGAGAAATCAAGAAGGACAGGTATATATGGGGCAAAGGAATGCCTCAGGAAGGTTCATGTTAGGGGAAGGGGCGGGAGCTTTTATCCTGATGGGGTCCCAATAGTTCATTTTTGCTTTTATTTCCCTCGCCCCTGGAGACACGGCAAGTAAGCAGCTGCTGCGGCCAAGGTTAAAGCGGTTGCTCCCTGTTTTCCCTCGTAGGGTTTTGTTGGTTTCCTGTCTCACATTGAGGTCTTTCATCCATTTTGAGTTTATTTTTGTGTCTGGTGTAAGAAAGTGGTCCGGTTCTCCCAGCACCATTTGCTGAAATGGGTGATGGGCATTCAGGAGGGCACTTTTAGGGATGAGCACTGGGTGTCCTATGTAAGCGATGAATCACTGGGTTCTACTCCTGAAACCAAGACTACATCGTATGTTAACTCACTTAAAAAAAAAAAAAAAAAAAAAAGAAAGAAATGGAAAAAAAAAAGGAGATAAGGCAGGACATGTTAGCTCCTTGGAATTGGCATCAGACAGGTACCAGTGATCCCCATGGGTCTTGACTGGTGATATTGTGGAGGTGCTTGGTGCGTGAAGCAGGGCTGCAGGGGGCTGAAAAACAAATCATTCATTCATGGCGTTTGTTAAGGAACAGAAGGCAGACCTTATTCAGGACCTTTGGGATAGGTGTAGGGTCCACCGCAGTGGGGTTTTACAGTGGGGGAGAGAGATTGGGCTCAACCCTGGAAATAGCAAAGAAAAGTGAGGATTTATAGCCAGGGAGTGGGGTGGTGGGGGTCAGTGGATGGAAAATGACTAAGAGGAAACATCACAGGGGATGGGAGTTCTGGATAAACCGACCTAACAGGGTTCTTGCAGGAGACAAGCCAGAGAGATCAGACATCGCCTGGGGGTGAGGGGGTGGAGGATGAGCAACCAGATCAGATATCAAGGGTCAGGGATTCTGTGAAACTGACTTAGAGGGATTCTTACTGAAACTAGGCACGACAGAGATGCATCCAGAAGCCCCACACAGGCCTGTTTGAGAAGAGAAGTCAGTGGAGCTTGGTGAGGGAGAGAAGGTTGGTTAAGGGGCCGTAAAAGTCACTGTGGGAGAGTGAGCCTTGAGATCAGTCACATGTTGGTGGCATCTTGGGTGAATGTCATGGGCGGATCATGAGCATTAGCGCTGTTGGCCAGTGTGGCCTCGCCAAAGAAGGTGCGAGTCAGGCTCTCCTGTGCAGGGGTGCGTCTCAGTTATCCTTGGCACCATGAGGAGGGTTCTGAGTTCAGAGGCTTCCCTAGTGGAGACCACGGATCTGGTCTCGAGGTGGCCGGTGAGTTTTGCCAAGCCCACCTGTCTTGATGCAGGAAAGCTCTTCCTCTCCTTCCCCCTTCCTCCTTCCCCCTTCCTCCTTCTAAGATTTTATTTTTAAGTTATCTCTACACCAGCATGGGGCTCAAACTCACAACCCCGAGGCCAAGAGTCGTGTACTCCATGACAGAGCCAGCCAGGCGCCCCAGAAAAGCCCTTCTTGACACATTTTATAAGCCTCCCACCGTCCACGTCAGACCCCCTGTCCCGTCCCTAAGTAGGCGGAAAGCGCAGCACCGTCGCTCACGCAGAATGACCTCACGGTGAAGGTCATGCAGAAGGAACTTCGTGTTGCTGTAGAAAACCTCGGTCATCCGTGGGGCATCCTTCCCGGCCCGTGGTCTTTGAGCCGCTGCAACTCCTTCTTTGTAAGTGGCCGGTAACCAACAAGTTAGTAAATTCTGTCCTGTGTGGTGGGATTCATGGCTTCCTCCCTCCTGCGGAAAACTCCGTTTTCTGTCCTTCTGGAATTTCAGCTGTGCTGTCGTCCGTATACATGTGTGCTCTTTTCTTTTTTCCTTCGAACCAGTTCTCACATCTGCCTCGTTCCTTCTTCTTAGAGAAGTAAAATCCTTCACGTGTTCATTTTTGTAAATCTGCACGAGAGTCATGGTTTTCCTTTCCTTGTGAAAATTATCCTTTAACAAATGTGTCATTTGGGGGAGGGAGGGGGCAGAGGCAGAATCCTGGAAGGGCTGTAGAGGAATTTTAGCGTCCTCCTGTCAGTAGGGCCCGCCTGGGTGTGCTCCCCCAGGCGCTTTCCCTGGGAGCCGCAGGGGAGCCACAGGGGGGCCACGGCGGGGCTGTCCATGGAAACCAGCTTCCCTGCCCTGTGGCCTTGGCCCAGGACACACAATGCACTACTCCGCTACATGAGGGGTCTAGCCGGAGTCCCGCCTTCCACAGCCAGGCCTCTCCCTGCCACTGCCTGCTTGCGTAAGATGCATCCAGACAGTGGCTCTCCTGGCCATAAACATTCCTTCTGGAAAGTGCGTATTAATTGGGGGCGCCTGGGTGGCTCAGTCAGTTGTGTCTGACTCCTGATTTCGGCTCAGGTCATGATCTCACAGTTTGTGAGTTCAAGCCCTGCATCGGGCTCTGCGCTGAGGAGTGGAGCCTGCTTGGGATTCTCTGTCTCCCTCGGTCTCTCTGCC